GAGATTTTTAAGTCCCAGCTTGACAAACCCTGGCTGGGATGATCTAGCTGGGGTTGGTCCTGCTTTGGGCAGAAAGTGGGACTTGATAACCTCCTGAGGTCTCTTTCAGCTCTGGGATTCTATGATTGCGAGCAGGGACTGAAATAAAGAGCAGCACAGGAGCAAGGTGAGGATCTCAAGAGATGGGTTGAGGGCAGGAAATGGATTTGCATCATGTGCTGCTGCTGCTCAGAAATCAAGAGCAATGGCATCTGGCAACTGAGACATCTGTCACATCTCACTGAAGCAGAGGGGTACAGTGTAGGAGCCCTGCCCGTTCCAATCCCCAAAGCAGGAGATGGGCTCTACTGCTCTGGAATCTGGCCCTTGCCCAGGGCATTTCTAGCCCTTGCCCAGACCCAGCCCTCCTCTTCTCCCAGAAATCAGCAGCCTCCCTCATATATTCCCCGCACTGTACTAGCCAACAACATAGAACAGCCGAGTGGAATGGGCAGCATGTATTCCCGAACCAGAACTGGGTCTGGTGCTCCAGCAGGTCAGGGCAGAAGGGGAGGGTGGTGGCGTTTGAAGTGCTTGGGTAGGGTGAACACTAGGCCCCTGTGCTCTTCACTAGGCCCTTCACACAGGGAGGTTTGGGAAACCACCTCCACCTGGCCACTGTGGATATCTGCGGATATCTGCAGATATGTAGTGCTCAACGCATCAATACACACATAGGCACTCATAGTATCCAAGTCACAATTCTCAAAACTATTTAATCTATGTGCCAAACTTGCGATAATATCAAATAGCACCCAAATAATGAAACCCCCAAATTCACAATAAACTTCCTTATAGTTACAAACATCTTACTCTTTCTCCTTTTTAAAAAAAATTACTTCTACTGGAAATATGCGCCAGATTTTTTGAATTTTGCAAAAAGTTCATCTATACTCTATTCCAAATTATTGTTTAAAGACTTTTGAACCAAGAAAATGGGTATGCCTTTTTTACTTAAACCATAATCATCATCGTCGTCTCTACCTCTTATCAGAAAGCATTTCATAGCTCTGTCGAACCAAAGCCAATGTTCTTTACATTATCACCTTGTTCATTCGTTCATGGGATCTTTATCCTTTTTTTGATGTGTTTTTTTTTTTTGCGGCAGATCACTGGCAATAAACTTTCATCGACAGGCTGAAGTTTTTTCTTCTCTCCTCCCTAACATCTACTGAACCTACCAAATCTTTCTCTTGTGTCAGTTTCCAAATATGTCTAGTAAGTGGAAATGCACCAGCATTCTAGGAGCATAGATTCCAGAGCTGTGATTTCATGATTAAATCACATATAAATATCACTTGTCCCTCCTTTCCCTTACTTTTCCTTTATTAGTTAAGTTTACTGTTCTCTGCTTCTTCCCAGTCTCATTATCTTCTAACTCAGCAAGTGCATAATATTCTCAGGAACTAATTTATTTGCTATTCACTATACTCAAAAGACTACTATGCCTGGCTCTGTTCCACACCCTTATTTGTAACCATTCACAAATCTCCTCGTATTCTTTAACCTCCCACACAGTGCTTGCATGAAGCCTGATATACAGATCACAACTAGTTCTAAAAAAACCTCACCAAGCCAGTACTTTGTGTCTCAGCCATGCATTAAGAAAATGCAGAGCCTATACTTCTTTTTCCAAAGTCTCACAAGCACATCTGAGGTCTTCTGCTCAATGCTAACAAGGCTGTCTGACCTTTATTGTATTGTTCTTAATTAGGGCTGTCAACTGACATGCGTTAACATCTGCGATTAACGCAGGGCAGGATTAACACATTCATTTAACGCGTTAATGCTGTGCTGCCCCTTTGAAGTGCTGCTCCACTGCCCCTTTGAAACATGTGGAGGCGGGCTTTCAAAGGGGCAACCGCCTCACAGCTGGGGACTCCACAGCTGATCCCGGGCTCCGCATGGCATTTCCCCAGAACCTGGGGTCAGCTGACCCTGGGCTCCATGGCAGCTGCCCCTTTGAAACGCCAGAGGCAGCTTTTTAAAGGGGCAGCCACCGCACAGCTGATCCGCTGCGCAGAAATGCTGTGGGGAGCCCAGGGTCAACTGGGGACTGCCCAGCTGATCCCAGGCTCCCTGAGGCATTTCCCTAGAAACCGGGATCAGTTGGGGAGTCCCCAGTTGACGCTGGGTTCCACTGAAATGCCATACAGAATGCCTTGCGCTACCCCTTGGAAACGTCACCCCAGTGCTTCAAAGGGGCAGCGCTGCATGGAGCCCAGGGTCAGCTGGGGACTCCAGCTGACTCCTGGCTCCGCCTTGCGCTGCCCCTTGGAAACGCTGCCCTGGCGCTTCAAAGGGGCAGCACTGCATGGAGCCCGGGTCAGCTGGGGACTCCAGCTCATCCCAGGCTCCATGCAGCACTGCCCCGTTGAAATGCCACAGCAGCGTTTCAAAGGGGAGGCACATGCAATTAATCGTGCAATTAATCGCGCTTAAAAAATTTTAATCACTTGACAGCCCTATTCTTAATTCAGATGTTTATTAGTAAGGGTGTTCTAGCCATGGATATTTTTAGTAAAAATCATGGACAGGTCAAAGGCAGTCAACAAAAATTCATGGCTTGTGACCTGTCCATGATTTGTACTGTTTACTTTAACTAAATCTGGGGGGTAAGGAGAGAAGCCTTAGGGGCAGCAGCCTGGGTCCCCCACTGGAACTTGTATGGAAAGGGGATACTGTGCAGCCCAGGACCTTCTCTATTTCTGGGGGCAAGGGGAGGAGTTGTGCTGTATCACTGGTAGGCTCCTACCTCACTCTGTGTGGCTCCCAAGAAGCAGCAACATGTCCCTCCCTCAGTTCCTAGGTAGGTGCATGGCCAAGCAGCTCCATGTACTACTTCTACCCTGAACACCCCTCCACACAGCTCCTATTTTCAGGGAAAAATGGCCAATGAAAACTGCAGGAGTAGCTCCTATGGACAAAGGCAGCACCTGCGGGCAGAGGCAGTGTGTGGAGCAGCCTGGCATTACCTCTACCTAGGTGCTGAGAGGGGGACATGTCCCTGCTTGCAGGGAACCCCTGCCTTAGATAAGTGCTGCCCAGAGCCCTCATCCCTCTACACGCTGCCACACCCAAACTCTTGCTGCTGTTGGAAGATAGGGAGTAATGTGGCCCGAAGCCTCCCCAGAAGCAGCTGGTATGGTTCAGAGACTGACTGAGCTTCTCAAGCGGCTCCCGGGACCGCCACACTGGCCACTGCAGAAGTCATCGAG